CCAACACTCCAAAATGACTGTTATCCATGAAAACTTAAGGGACCTCTATAGTCACGATGCATTTGTCACCTGTGAGACTGCCATGCTAGCCCTGCCAACATCCATTACCATCTGCCTCTCCATTTTTAGCCTGTGGACTAGCCCACCTAGACATCACCAGTTGTCACTCACAGCCTAGTACTTCATGCGATCACCACACACCACCCACGACAGCAGACTGTTTTTCAATTTGGGGGGATGAATTATCACTGATTTTTAAAATGTTTAGAATAATTCTATTATTGTTCGGATGTGTCTGGCCTTTAGACTTTTTGATATACCCAACAGTTATGAGTCACCAAAATTGTTTACTTCTATTTCCATAAAGAGTCACTATAAGATCCCTTTAAATACTAAGTTCTCCTGATTCAAAATCTAATTAACTTTTTTTTTTTTAAGATTTTATTTATTTATTTGACAGAGAGAGAGATAGCTAGAGCAGGAACACAGCAGGGGGAGTGGGAGAGGGAGAAGCAGGCTTCCCGCTGAGCAGGGAGCCCGATGCGGGGCTCGATCCCAGGACCCTGGGATCATGACCTGAGCCGAAGGCAGACGCTTAACGACTGAGCCACCCAGGCGCCCCTCTAATTAACTTTTCAAGGACATATTTGTGAGACAACCTGTAGTCTTTTGCTTAAGAAAATCCTACTACCTGTTCTCCAGTTAGGATTCCACTTCTCATGACTACTTCATCCTTGTCTCAGTGACTTTGGTCACTAAGTCACTGTTCTGCCAAACCACCATCCCCATGGTCAAAAAGAGGAAAACATTCTTACCCCATCATTCTATGCCTTTCAAGATATATTGGGCTGTCCCTGAGGGAACAAAACAAATTAAGCTCTTCAGACCATTTTCCTCCCTCTAGAATTTTTGTGGAGCAGGAATATGGTTAAGATGGACAGTAACAGGCCCTCTGCCCATCATAGCTGGGGAGTCGGCATAGAGATCCACTGGGAGACCTAAAAGCCACATTCATCCCCTTCTTCCTGCCCATGTAACCCTGACTTTGTTCACCAGCTCAGAGAAGAGGTCCTTCTCCCAGCTCCAAGAAAGAATCCTGAGGAGTCTAAGGTTAGACTCTATGCTAATAACAGAAATCACCTTTCTTTTGTCACAATATAAGCCTAGAACTTTTTATGGCTTCATCTATCTTGGGCTGATAATTCTGGCCAAGGAAATGACAAAGACCTCTCCTTGACCAAGCTTTTGGTCATGCACCTCGGAGCCCCCCCCCCCCGCCAACAAAGGCCTCCACCTTGTGCCGAAAGAACAGCGACTTTTGGCACAAAGGACTTGGTTCACTCCACCACACTAGGAAACTCAAGCAAACTAACATGGCTTCTAGCTGCCTTCAGTCATGTCCCTCACTTGACCCAGTCCCTCTTGAGTTCCTGTCTGAAAAAACTCAGAAGAATTTACCATTTGTTCCAGCCAACAACCTCAAAGGCCTCTGATCTTGCTTTTCATAATGTATTTTAAAACTTACAATTGTGAATCCTTCCCCTGTCCCTTTGAGATATGTATGTATCTCATACCTTCCTCAACAACCTGAAAGCCTTATTCCCTTGAAATGTTATCATCAGGAAGGACAGGACCCCTGTCTCTGTGCGGAGGTAGGTGCCTAACTTCAGTAAGCACCTGTTAGCAAACCCAGATGGCCTATCACAGTGAGCAACCTACCTGCTTTTTGTGATTTTCTACTTGTCTGTCTCTGCTCAAGCCCCCACTTCGTCCCCCTTATTTTCCCTTTAAAACACCCAGTTACCTCTACACAAATCAGACATGCACTTGTGTCTCTTTCTCCAATTGCAAAGGCACTGAATGAAATCTTCCTTTACCATCTTTAACTAGGATTGGGGTTTGCTTTTCTTTAACAGAATATAAAAGTAAGTCTGCTAAAGGGTGCTAGAATTTCTCTCTGATCTAAACAAAAATGGGACCAAGAAAGCAAACAAACCCAATAAACCAACAACCCAAGAATATGAAGGAAATTGGGGAGAAACTTCCATTTAAAATAAAGCAGCCACGTGAGGAGGCAAATTCTAGAGCTGCAACATTGCTCCACGACGGGACAACCTTAAGGGCCAAGCCAGAGCTGCAGAGGACAACCTAAGCATCTAATGACCCTAAATACCAATCCTGGACCCATGTTGCCTGGGGCTTCTTGTTATAGAAGACTGATAAATACCCTACCTGTTTAAACTGCTGTGGGTACAGTCTTGAAGTCAAATACATCCTGACTCAATCCATTCAGTAAAAAGCTACCCAGAGGACATGACAGAAAGACAATAGTGCCTGAAGAGTAGTACTGAGACTCAATTATAGGTGACACTCAATCCAAAACTTGAGCAGGTAAAAGAAATATATTGGCTAATATAAATGCCCAGTCCAGACCTCGCTTTATGTTCTGGCAGAGCTATACTCAAATGCTGATGATGCCTTCAGAAGCCCCCTCTTCTCTGCTCTGCTTCCCCCAGCATCAACCTCACCTTTAATAGGTCCATCCCATATTGAGATGAAGATGACCACCAGCAGCATCAGGGGTACATTCCTCCCACCCCACAACCCCAGTGGGAACAGAGAGCCTCTGTCCCTGTAGTTCCAGCAAATCTCATTGGCATGGCTTAGGTTTCTGCCCATGGCCAGGGACTATGGATTCTAAATGGCCAGACCTAGATCGGAGAGGTTATCAACCCAATGGGAAAGGACAACCAAGGAAAGTCAGGTGCCATTACCCAAAACAAGGCAGGCAGAAGCAGCAGCTGTCCACAAGTAGGATATGAAGAATTCAATCTTCGATTCTAACTGATAGACTACTACAACTGCCCTAATTTATCATCAACTAGAGCAGGCCACCCCTCCCATTGCATCCATCCTCATTATTTTATAAGCTACGAAGAATAGGACTATGCTTTATTATTCCTCAGCAAATACTAATTACCCAAGTGTTCTACATATACCAGGGTGAGGGTGAGCCAAGGATTAAGCCCATGGAAAATCATCTTTACGGACACCGCATCTCCTTCACTCAAACAACAGAATGTCGAAGCTGAAAGACACCTCAAAAATCATCTAATGCAAACCCCTTGGTTTACAATAAACAAACAAATATACAAACACCAGAGCCCCAGAGAAGGTAAGTGCTGTGGCCTGAATCTCAAGGCTGGTCAGGGCAAAAGCCAGGGATGGGGCCTCTTCCAGCCCAATGCTTACCACTCTGTCACATGGCACCCAGAACACATACATGTGAGACTCCAGGAAAACTAGAATTTCCTTTGCTTTCTTAAAAGTTTTCTCAGTATAATGGTACTGTCCTTGGGGGGAAAAGCAATAAAAAGAACAGACGTAAGACTTTTGAGTAACTGTTGTGTTTTTATCCTTTAGATCTACAGACCTTTGGCATTGTTGTATGGTTTCTTCCTGTTTCCATTGTGTTTGGGAAGATGTGGGGAGAAAAGCCAGAATGGAGGAAGGCTGGGCAAGATAGATCACGGGGAGCCAAACCACACGTCTGAGTCCTGGTGCCTCAGAGCATGGAAATTCCCCATCCCTTGGTTCAAGGCTTATCTGTTTATTGACTCAGGGAAGGCAGCTGCCAGGCACGGGAGATTTATACTAGGTCATTCCAACCCTGACCTATGTGGAACAAATGGAAGCCCACAACACTCAATGTGTGTCCAGTACTTTTGTACAAAGCTCAAGAGCTTTCCCGCCACAATGACAAGCTATACAGAATCGAAATAGAAGGTGGGGCAAGGGAACCCAGCAGCGGGGCGGGGGGGGGGGGGGCGGCAAAATATGTGGGAAATGGCTAGGAAGCCCCAAAAGGGGTCAAGGTTGCACAACCCTGCCCTAGAGCCAAGGGTTTGGAAAAGTCAACAAGTAACTCTGTTGCCCAAACTCCAAACGCCGTATCACAAGCTGGAGATTTCTGCCCTGACCTGCAGAATGAGTCCTACTGACCAAACGAAGCAGGATAGTAAATGGAAAAGCATTCTATAGGATAAAAAGTGTTCTGCACAAATACAAGGGCGTTTTTGCTAACAATTAGACTTTCTTACTCTTTACAATTTGGGTTGGTATTCTTAGCAACATGGATATTCTTTGAGGTGTTGGCAGAGAGCACCACCATCAGGAAATAGCTCTATGTCGTGCTGTGAATGAGCATAGCTTTAGAATCCCACAGACCCAAGCCCCAGGCAAGATTCTGCCCTCGCTAGCTCAGTGGCTTCAGCAAGTGGCTTAACCCTACCATGCCTCTGTTTATACATCTACAACATGAGGGTAATAACAGTATACACATCACAGGGCTGTTGTGAAAACCTAGCATCACCAGAGCCCTACAAGTGACTGCTACCCACACAATGTCCTGTCCCAAGAACATATCAGGAAAGAATAGAGCAGGTGGGTCAACTCGTTTCTTAAGACCAGTATTTCCTTTAAAGCCAAATAATTAGAATAAAGCCAAATAGCATGTAGAGAAAGGGGAAAAGCTTTCATCTGTTTTAAATTATCCTAGCTACAGTCTATGTAGCAAAACTATTAATAGAAAAGGTCACTATGAGCCTTTGCAAAGATGTTGGCATATATAATTTCAGGTGCTTTTCCTGTGGCTTCTTCCTAAAGACTCTGGGACCATGGCATACATGTATCCTACTCTCCAACCATGTTTGCTCTTAAGCCTACAACAACTTAGTACAGCTGGTGAAGTCCATTAGCTTGATTTCCAAAGGAGGGCTTTGCATTAGGAAGTTAATGGATTTTACGCTCATAGAACAGTAGACACACAGGGGCGCCTGGGTGGCTCAGCTGGTTAAGCATCTGCCTTCAGCTCAGGTCATGATCCTGGAATCCCAGAATCGAGCCCCACATCTGTCTCCCTCCTCAGCAGGGAGCCTGCTTCTCCCTCTCCCTCTGCTTATACTCTTTCTCAAACAAATAAAACCTTTAAAAAAAAAAAAAAGAACAGTAGACGCACAAATGCTCTCCCACCCCCAAGTACTCAGCTGAAATCAGTATAGTTCCCATTTCAGCCCTCTCCTGGTGATCCAGGTTTGCTCTAACTACCCGCTTCCAAAGCTTCCAAATAGCTAGCTGCAGTCTCAACTTCAAAGAGACTATTCCAGAAACACAGAGAAATATCCCTGATCCCTTTTTGAGGGGTCTAACTGGCAGGAAATGTAAGCCTCTGATAAAGGATGATTATTTGGACTTGTAGATGTTAAGTGCCAAACCAGATAAACTGGCAAACATCAGATTTCCTGCAGTTGATTATAAATAATGGGGCATTACTTTCTGACAAGATTCAAAGTAAAATTTGATAAAAGCCCAAAAAGCATGAAAACAGAAACTGCGGTTTTCACACCAGAGTAAGAGCTCCAAAATTTCTCCCTGCCTTCTTTGGCTTCCCTGAAGTAGAAGGATTTGATAGGACACGTTCTACTGTCAGGTGGACACCTTTCCTTTAAAGTCATTTGCTTTGCATTTAAGAAAAACACAACAGTCAGAAAACACCCAAAATCTCTCCAAGGCTGTGAGAATAAAACTCAATGCGTTAGTGTGAAATGGGCTTTTACATTTAGAACTGCTGCTTCCTGTCTTCTAAAGAAATGAAGAGTAGTTTTACAGTTGTCACCTGTCACATTTAAAATGCCATATGAAGTAGCCAGGACAAAAACCTAAGTCCCAAATGGCATCAAATACCAGCAGATACAACAGGGACCCTAAGGCACACAGCGTGAAAATGAACTCTAAAATTCAGGATACAGAGGCGACTTCTCAAGTAATGTATCAAATGTGGACCAGAAAGATTATTTTTAGTTATAGCTAAAAAGCTTCAAGAGCCAATTTTTTTCTTTTCCTTTTTCTTGGCTAAGACAGCTATAGTTTTTACATGGTTTCTTACAAGTGAATGTGTGTACATCTCATAAAAAGATATTTAAATTTACATACGTAGACACACAACACACAATTTTCTACCTCCATTCTCCCCCCACCCCCCTGAAAAGCAATAAAGTCTAAAGCTTTTATTTGGTTAAGAAACCTCTGGCTGTTTTAAAAGACTTCTGCTGTTAAATACCACTTTCAACCAATGAAAGAAAATAGCTGTGGGAAAGAGACTGGTGGGGCTGGAACTCATTAACACTTTGGGCAATAGCATTTTTCCTTTATTTAGAAGGCTGTACTAGCTCCTCCCAATGGAAAGAGGATGACCAAATATGGGCCAACTGCTTACTTGGTCTCCTCTTTGCCTCCAAGTATCAACTAAATTTCCTCCCTTGTTTACCTTTAACATCTGCCTCTTTTATCTCCAATAAAACCACCACTCATAATGCTATTTTCATTGGTGAGGCACTCAGTTATCCAACACATAAATTCATTACAATAAACACACACATATAAAGCACTTCCCATGTCCCAAGCAGTGTTTGAAGAGTTTCGTATGTGTTCACTCAATAAGCCATATGTTATGCCACATATTCTTCAAAACAATCCTCTGAGTTTATTATATTGGTTGGTTCAATCCTTTTCCCCATCCTAATTAACCCTAATGTTGTTACAGTTCCACCCTTTTTCTCATGGCCATTACTTCTGGAGGGGCTGTCCCAGGAGGTGGGTCTTCATTGTTCTAAGCTAATTAAGGAGACCCCACTAGGTATAGGTATGTGACACATTTCTGGCCAATGACACAGGAGAAAGCCTACTGCTTGTGGGGAAGGGGGACTGTTTGTGAGAATACTTTTTGTTTTAATAAAAGCCACACAGGATGAGAGAAAGTCTCCCTCTTTTGGATCCTGTTGAATACGGAGTTGATGCTTGGAACTGCTGCAGCCTTTTTGCAATGATGAGGGAAGCTAATCTGAGGACAAAGGCACAAGAGACAGAATACCAAGCCAAGAGAGTCACCCGGAGGGGGGGGTAACCAGAGCCCTGATTATACTGTGTCTGGAGCTGCCATAGCTTTTGCTCTTGCCTCATGCGGTAATACATTTCCCCATTGTTTCCACATTAGTTGATTTCTCTTTTACATGCAGCCAAAGGCATCTTCAATGACACAGTTAACTCTATAGATGAAGAAAGAAAAACTAAGAGGGTGAGCGACTTACCGAAAATTACACTGCTAGTAAGTGTGCTGAGAACACATGGGCTTTCAGGACTAAAGTGTGCATATAAAATTATTCTAAAGGGTGATAAGAGAAGGACTCTCAAATCCCAACATTTTACAAATTGTATGTATGCATGTATGCATAATTTCACAATCACACACACTCACATACACACTGATCTTGAAATTATGGTTAGCAAGTTCATCACCTAGGGCTCAAGATCCCTACTTCTAAAGATTGTTAGATTTTGATTGTGTGTGTGTGGGGGGGTGTGTTTGGAGGAGAGAGAGAGAGAGAAAGAAAATAGATATAAGTCACTAAAGGTCTCATAAGGCACATGGAAAGACAAATATATTGTCATTTGTTATTAAACTAATGCTTTTGACTCTAACAGTTCATCTTAACAAGTGATTAGCCATGATAGGCAAAGTATATACACAGGCAGTAATCTTCTGTTAATTATTAATGCTTCTTTTCTCCTGCAATCATGAGTCATTAACTTCTGGGTGCTCATCTTTAAAGAAAAGACTTCATTACTATATACTAACTAGAAAATAACATGTAGAAAAAGGAGGTCTGACTCAAGTGGGCAGCAAATGGGATGCAGAATACCATTCACTTCGGATCATCAATCACGGAGTTCTAGGAAAATGAATAAAGAGTTCATTTTAGCTACTACATATCATTAAGAGTCTCCAGCATATAAAGTGCATCTCCCACCCAGGCATTTTACTTATATATCCTCTTTGCAAGCCTTTTCCCAGATGTTCCTAAAGTCATGTCTCAATATACCTGTCATGGTCTATAGACAAGAAGCATCTGGAAGTGATTTAAATAGGCTGCACTGAATTCAGAGCCCACAGCATCCATTCTTGAGCAATGAATTACTTCTAAATGGTACTATATATGGGAGGAATCTCCTCTCTCCTGATGTCTAGTTTCTCTGTAGAGGATCTTTCGTTAAACGTAGTTCCTGGTCTCCATTGGGACCCTCACTCACACTGCCCTAGGTACAGGGAGTGAATTCTCACTGGTATGTTCTGGAACAGGAAATGAGCATGCACCACTCCCTCCTACCCTCACCCCTTATCCTCTTGAGAGCTGTTTGACTGCAGGGAGCTGCCAGTCCAGTCTTCTCATCAAAGCTGAAACTGTTAAGAGTATCAGGGCCCACCTACGTGGGCCAGTCCATAGAATCCTGAGTTTGAAAATCAGCCCACTCACCTACAGAGAGGAAACCACATTTCCTAATAGCATCTTGATCATTTAAAAAAAAATTTTTTTTTAAACCAATCTTCCACACATTTAAATCAGAACATGGGTGAGGAAGCCAAGGATGGATTATTGAGCTCATTCAAATCCCAACATTTTCCAAAAATGGAGAGGCTTCACCACGCCATGTTTTGTATAGTGCTTGATGGCAGTCAAAGCAATCTCCGGTATTTTATCTCTTTGGACCATCTCAACAAACCTGGGAGGAAGGCAGGTTTTATTATCCCAACTGGACACCAGTGCGGAAACAGAGACCCAGAAATTTTAAGTGATCTATCCAGGGTACACAGTTCCACACAATGTTCCAGATCTCAACCTCCTGCGCTTCTGTTTTTTTTTGGAATACCTTTCCCTCCCAGCTCCCTCTTGCATCACAAGAGTCTAATGAACTGAGTGACTTACCCAAGATGGGGCAGGATGTGGACACAGGCTCTTTTCACCTCCCCCTCAAAACGGCAGTTCTGCTTTTTAAAGGCTACTTCAATACATAACACAATGCATGGACTTTGGTGCCATTTCATAAATAGCCTAATTTACCAGAAGCCCCAACTTTAAGTTTTACAAGCTTCAGGGCTTCTACCAGGCAAAGAAGATAATTAAATTAATTCTTTTGTCATTTTAAGTGACCTATTTTTCATTCGTAATCAGTATGTCTCTACACAAATTAGAAACTCTTACAAAGTTCTTTAAAAGTCACTCTATAAATTGACTAATAAACTTAGCAATTATAAAGCACTTTGCAAAGCCAGGCACATCATTAAATCCTGACTTCTCAGTGCCGTAATTTAAATTGGGAATCTATCTACTTACAGGTGTCGTGTCAAGGCTAATCTCTCTAATACGGAAATAGACCAAGTTAGCATATTTTGGAGGGAAGTCCTTGACTGCCATTACATGGCATCAGACCCTAAGTCATCTACTGCCTCCCCGCCATCCCTGGGTGAGGCCTTGTAGACTCTATTTACACCATGGAGTAAAACTACCTTGCTAAATAAATAGGAAAGGGGCCATTGTGATCAGCTGCACCGATGCTGGGACAGAAAAAACAAGTGGTTAGTATCCTTTCTAAAATGAACTAGGATATTTTCTTGTCTTAACAGGTCCTGCACAGTGAACAGAACTCACTCTTTGAGGACCTCAGACCCCTCTCTCAGAGCACAACTTCTCATTGTAGACCACTGTAGGCAAAGCTTTGGAAAAGTGGGAAATTGCTCCCTGGGGTCCTACATGACTTCCTTCTTGCCAAATCCAATGTCTTTTCCGTGCCTTGAATTTCAATGTGATTGTCTCCATGTGTGCATCCCGCCACACTGTGGTCTTCTGCTCTTCCACCCATGGCTCTCATGGGTCGCCATCTGTCTGCCGAGTCTTATCCCTGTTTCCAGCCCCAATTGCAGCCAAACCCCAAGGCTGGACTCTCAAACTCTGTTCTCCCCTGTCTCCTCCGAGATGCACTCTCTCTTCCTCATGGCTCCAACCAGCTCCCTCCCAGGCTGGGAATGTATCTTCTCCTCACCTCTCATCCCCACTGCCTATAGGACAGCAACCCTCAATATCAAACCATTACCTCAAATCATCCACAACGTGGACCAAGCTCACTATTTCCACCCCAAGGCTTCCAAGGCAGCCCCACTCCCCAACTTGACTTGTGGTATTTTTTGTCATTATACTCATAGCCACGCAGGCTTACAGTCCAAGAAAGCACAGTGTATTCAGGATTCATTCACACCTTGCCCCCCAGTTTCCAAACCCGAAACTTCAAATGCCCTCCAGTTTCTGCCATAGGTCCAGGCCATTTATTTGAGCTTCTCCCTTATTCTCCAGCCTGGCATTCTAGATGCCCTGCTGGACCTCACTCCCTACCCTGAGCCACATCCCATTCTTTGCCAGAGCCCTGTCTTGGTTCTTGCCAATTCCCCACCCACTAGGGTGAGAAACCTGTCCCATAGCCACTTAGAAACCCCAGGTTCCTTTAAAATGAGGAACCCCAGAAATCAGCCTAGTCTGGGGTGAACAGCACCATAGAGGGAAATAGGGTGGTACAGAAGAACCCGAACTTCGGATCTGGACTGACCTGGGTTTGAATCCCACTGCTGCAACTCACTTACAAATGTGACTGGGCAGACTTCTCCAAGCCTGGTTCTTCATCTGTGAAACGGGAACAAATTCAACCTTGATTTCAGAATTGTGAGGAGTAAAGGAAATCCTAAGAACAATGATAGCAACTACTATTTATGGAGCCCTTACTATGTGCTCAGCTAGGGACCCAGAGAAGACAAAGAAAGCAAAGCCTACAACTTGTTTTATTTCTTGAAGACCTGAGGTCTCTTGTGCTCATAAACAGTCTGCTGGATCACAATGGGGATAAGAGGTTAGCTGAGACTTGCCCTTAGGTGTGTAAGAAACAGAATACCATAGCAAAGCACAAACCCTTAACCCAGGATGGATCCTGGTACGGGGCCCACTGCAGCAGCCCAACCCATAAGGTGAGTTACAAGGCTGAAGAGAGGAGGCTCAACAAAGAGTCAAATCAAGGTGGGAGACCTAAGCAATGGAAAAGGGCAGGACAGCAAGCAACCCAGCTTGGCCTCATCCCTAAGTCCTGAAGGAGATCCTTTGGGGAAGGCCACTGGTCCTTGCCTGTCTAGACTGGCACTGTTCAGAGAAGGTAGGGGGAGCCAAGCATAGTCTTCCAATATGGAAGTCTCCTCCAAAAGGTCAAAGGCAGTGATTATCTAGTGGGCTCACAGGGCCACCTGAAAGCTGTTGCTGTCTCCATGTCAGTGAGGAGGCATCCTCTCACTCATGGCACATGTTTCCCAACTTGTACTGGACTTTGGACTTCCAGATTAACCTGACCCAGGTCTCGTATGCCCAAGGCCTCTTGTAAATGACACCCTAGAAGAATCTCCAAGCAGCATGATGTAGAAAAAAGAGGGGGGAAAGTGCCAAATAAAACATTAAAGAACCTGAATTTTTTTCCTACCTGTTACCAACCTCTATGACCTAGAGTAGGTCACTTACCTCAAGGTTCTCACCTGTAAGATCATCTGTGGTGAAGGTCCAAAGAGAAGTGAAAACACCCAAAAATTAGGCAGACATCCAGAAAGGTCCAAGATGGTCGAAGGACACAGCCAGTAGCCCTTCTAATGGTAGGGGAGAATGAATGATGGCCAGAGCAACCCAAATCTGAAATAACCTCAGCCACTACAATGAAACTTTTTGGACAGGAAAGGCCTTTTGGGTACAGTGAAAAAAGTAATAATCATATCTGTGCAGAAATCAGGGCCAGGTTCTCAAACTTCCTGTCTGGAGTTTCCATTTATTAGATGGGCTGCTTTCTGAACCTGGCCAAGCCAGTCGGCATGTTCCATGAAAATCGTCATCAACAGAACACAAGAACAGGACAGTTCAGGGCAGGACGCAGCTTTCCACTACCACCAAAGTAACTATCCTGCTGGCAGGGACTGGCCACATTCCTCTCCTCCTGTTTTTCTGTGAAATTGTTTTTACAGTTGTTATTTCTACCAGCAGAGGGGATGGAGCTGACTGATAGTAGATTGATATATTTAAGTGATAGCAATCATGAAATATGGAAAACATACATGTGACCATTGTATCCACTGAAACTTGGCCTCATAATATCCTTAAAAAGGCAGAGGGGTGTGGAGGGCAGGAAAGGAGGAAAGGAATGGTGACCCAACCAGAACAGGAGGTAATGGCAAGTAGAGGGCATGGGGCAAAAACTGAGTGAACTCTGGCTGTGAGTCAACAAATGGGACTGAGACCTGAGCTCTTAGTTAGGGAGCCCCAAACTGAGCTGCACCCCCAAGCCAACAGGATATCCCCAGCTTTCGAGAAGAAAGGAAGGTAGACCAGAGGGTCAACAAGAGGACTAGTTTTTGATAGTAATAGGATCTCCCCCGGAGCCCCCCCCCAAAAAAATTGACATATTGTTTTAGGAGAGTTCTTCCCACAGCCCAGAGAAGCCCTATGTGTACCCAAGCCAATGGTCTGCTCGTTTCCTTCTTGCCCTAGAAGCCCATCCCTCAAGGTCTCATAAGGACATACTCTTGCCAGCTCGTGCAATGGTAGCAACCAACCTTATGGATAGCAAGATCTGATTTCTTCCAGGCACACAGGAAGAAAACTGGGCTAACTCAATGCAACAGAGATGGATGGGTGGAGATGGGGGGCAGGATAAATACAGCTTCCACAAGACAGCTGGTCCCAACATTCCACACCCCTTCCTGGAAACTTCTTGAAACCCAAACTGAAAGTAGAGTATGGAAGGAGAAGATGGAGGTATGGGGGGAGAAGACAGAAGATAATCACAGTAATAAAAACAGAGCCATTATTCACTGAGTCCTTACTGTAAGTGCATTAATATAAGCAGGAGTTAATACCAAGTAGGTTGTATTATCCCATCTTTTGACATGAGTAGACTGATCTCAGAGCTCGTACTGACATTCACATTCATGGTTCACATTCACAGGACTTAAAAAAAAAAAAAAATACCCCTGAGACTTCCAAGGCATGATTTAACTGTCACTTTGAGTAACCAAATAGAAAAGGGCAGCATGTCTGGGAAATGTCTTTCTGTGTGGCAAAATGGGAGCATGGCATGCTGTTGCTGAAAGCTTCTGTAAGGGCGCCTGGGTGGCTCAGTTGGTTAGGCGACTGCCTTCGGCTCAGGTCATGATCCTGGAGTCCTGGGATCGAGTCCCGCATCGGGCTCCCTGCTCGGCGGGGGGTCTGCTTCTCCCTCTGACCCTCTTCCCTCTCGTGCTCTCTGTCTCTCATTCTCTCTCAAATAAATAAATAAAATCTTTAAGAAAAAAAAAAAGAAAGAAAGAAAGAAAGCTTCTGTAAGACTGTAGGAGAGAGAAGTAGATGCAGCCCTGAACAGTCCTGGGGCACCCTCTGGTACTGACCCACCAGCAGAGGCATATACACTTCTAAACACCTGGGTCATTGCTGCCCACTACATGGGTGAGCTCCCATCATCTTCGATCACTGCCCAACTGAGGGGCTTTCTGTGGGCTTTTGGTGTCTTGATATCTTGGAGTCCTCAATGAGTCTTAGTAGAGCACAAAGCACAGCCAAATTCTTGAATCCTATCCAGGGACAATGATTGATGACCAGATTTGGATCTTCTTGGGATTTCATTAGAGCTACAACATAGTCTCCTCAGTAACAGGTCTGCTAACAGTCCTCCCCCAGTTTAATAGTTGATAGTAGGTGTTTGAAAAATGGTAATTGTATCAGAGACTTGTGGTACCTAGTGTTTTATATACACTGGCTCATGAAATCACAACCTCTTCAAGGTAGGTATTGTTATACCTACCTTGTAGGTCTCCTGACAAGTGAAAAATCTGAGGCTCTCATGGTTAAGAGATTCTCAAAGTTCAAAAAGCTAGCAAAGCCAGGAGTTAAGTCCATGCTAAATGATTATCATTATGTGGGCTTCTCTAGTCAGTCCGTCCCATGGGTTTAAATTGTTTAGTGCCGGGCACCTGGGTTGCGCAGTTAAGTATCCGACTCCTGGTTTCAGCTCAGGTCATGATCTCAGGGTCATGAGATTGAACCCCACTTTGGGCTCCACCCTCAGCAGGAAGTCTGCTTGAGATTCTCTCCCTCTCCTCCTGCTCACATGCTCTCTCTAAAATAAATTAAAAACTTTTAATTGTCTAGTGCTGTGGGTTTCAACACCCTGTCCACATCTTCTTCCCAAGCCCCTGACTCAGCAGACAGCAGGGACCAAGCCCCTGCCCCACATAAATGTCCTCTACCCTGGGTCTTTTTGTCCTTGGCCGATCTCAGAGGGCTTAGTGAAGAAGGTCCTCACATGTCTTCCCACCGACCCCTTACACACACATGCACATCCCAGGCCTCTGCAAGCCCTCCAAAAGAAACAAACCAAGGTTGTTTTGGGCCTAGCCACCAGCCCAAGTTCTAAACAGACAAGAACCTTCCCATGTTCTGCTCAGCTCCCACTCTCCCTGCTGGGTGGGTATTAGTTCAACCTTATAAAGGAACAGGAACACGATGGGTTTCAGGAGTCTTTGAAGAAAAAGGCTTAAAGAGAAAGCAAATCCACCAAACCAATCTGCCCCTGGTTGCTTTTCAATTAGAGGAAGGATGGGCATATCAATACTGAACCACCCCTTCCCTGGTCTTGAGACTCAAAAGTCTTCCTTTGTGTAAATGGCCAAACCAGCAGCAGGAGGCTCTGAAGGCAGGTGACCACTGCCAGGCCTCAGGTGGGCAAGTCCCGCTAACAGTAGTTCTTCTGTTGCCAGCACCCTCTGCCATTCAAAGGGGTGCCCCTAGCAGTTGACAGAAAAAAAAAAATGGACACATGGTACATTCAACCTGCAACTTTCACAGAACTACCTCAAGGCATTTCACTCTTGACATCCTTTAACCATGTCACTGAGGGTGATAGAGTTAACCCAGTCCCAGTTTGCATACACAAAATTTAATTTCCCCAGGTTTCAATGAGATAGGCTAGAAATTCAGGACATGGTGTAGTCATGGGATCTTGATCCCTAAGACATACCCTTCCACACTGCTTCTACTGCCTTAAAGACAAACGAGAATTCCCCAGGGCTAAGATTGCTATTATTTGCACCTAAGCCCCCATATCTCCCCGGATGGGGTCCAGACAGTGGAGCAATGCCATCCCAACCAACTCACACCCTTGCTCTCTCTGCTTAAAGCCATGTGCCTTGGCTTGGTGCAAAGAAACCTTTTCATGTCTCTGGAAACCCAAGCCTCTGCCCTATTTCCCCTAGATGGAATAATAGAAAAATGAGCAAGGGCAGCAGCGTAAATGAGGGAAGGGCAGCCTGTGGTCAGCAGAAGATTATGGAAAAGCTTGAATGAAAGCAAGTGACAATTTAGGAGCTGGTAGGTGAGCATTCACTCACTCACTCACCGAGCATTTGCTGACCAATTGCTGTGTGTTAAGCTCCAGGAGACAAAGATGAGGAAGACATGGTCCCTACCCCTCGACTATCTATTATAATGGAGAAGTGAAAGATAAGGAGTGGCAGGGATGGGGAGCAGGAGTGACTATGAATTCTAAGACAGAATTCTACCACATGAAGTTGAATTATAAAGGCAAGAATCCACAGCCGCAAAGAAACAGGTTATAGAATTTTCTTCATCTGATCCATGAACCTACTTTTATTCATTATCTCATGATGCAAATAAAGATACACAGATCTCTAAATATGTCCTGTCCAATCTGCAAAATCATTTAATTCTTGCTAAAAATCCAGTAAGACTAAGAGGGAGAGAGGAATGAATTGATAGAGCATAGGAGAATCTTAGTTTGCTATATAATGGTAGATACATGTCATTATATATTTGTCCAGACCCATGGAATGTACAACACCAAAACTGAACCCTAATGTAAACTATGGACTTCAGGTGATGATGATGAGTCAATGTAGGTTCATCAACTGCAACGTATATACAACTCTGATAGGGATGTTGATAATGGAGGAGGCTATGCTTATTTGGGGGCAGAAGTTATATGGGAAATATCTGTCCCTTCTATTTGATTTTGTAGTGAATCTAAAACTTCTCTAAAAAAAAATGAAGCCTTTAAAAAAAAAATCTAGTAAGACCACTGGATCATAATATTGACAGGTAGCTTAGTCTATTCAGCCTACTTTAAAAATTACAAGACAGGGTAGATCTAATAATTACTTTGAATGTAAATGGGCCAAACACTCCAATAGAAAGACATAGGATGACAGAATGGATAAAAAAAATACAAGACCTATCCACAAGCTGCCTACAGGAGATTCATTTTAGACCTAAAGACACCCGCAGATTTAAAATGAAGGGATGGAGAAACATCTATCATGCAAATGGGTGTCTGAAGAAAGCTAGAGTAGCAATACTTATATCAGACAAAATAGACATTAAAACAAAGACTGTAACAAGAGACAGAGAAGGACACTATATAATAATAAAGGGGACAATCCAACAAGAAGATGTAACAATTGTAAATATTTATGCACCCAACATAAGAGCACCCAAATACATAAAATCTAACATAAAAGAACTAATCAGTAACAATACAATAAGAATAGGGGCCTTTAACACCCCACTTACATCAGTGGGCAGATCAGAAAATCAGCAAGGCAACAATGGCTTTGAATGACACACTGGAACAGATGGATTTAACAGATATATGAAGAACACTCCTTTCTGAAACAGAATACACATTCCTTTCAGGTGCACAGAATATTCTCCAGACTAGATATCATATTAGCCCACAAAACCAGCCTGAACAAATTCAAGAAGATAGAAGTCATACCAAGCATCTTTTCTGACCACAACGTTATGAAACTACAAGCCAACCACAAGAAACCATCAGGAAAAACCACAAATAACATGAAGGTTGAATAACATGCTACTAAACAATGAATGGGCCAATCAGGAAATGAAAGGAAGAAATAAAAAATACATGGAAACAAATGCAAAGGAAAACACAACAGTCCAAAACCTTTGGGATGCAGCAAAAGCGGTGCTAAGAGGAAAGTTTATAGCAATACAGCCTACCTCAAGAAGAGCAATCACAAATAAACAATCTAACCTTACATACACCCAAAGGATCTAGAAAAAGAACAAACAAAACCTAAACCAGCAAAGGAAGGAAATAGGATTAGAGCAGAAACAAATGATATAGAAACTTAAACAAGAGAAAAGATTAATGAAACCCAGAGCTAATTCTTTGAAAAAAATTAATAAAATTGTTAAGACCTCTAGTCAGACTTATCAAGAAAAAAAAGATAAAGGACCCAAATAAATAAAATCACAAATCAGAGAAGAGAAATAACCAACACCACAGAAATACAAGCAGTCATAAGACAGTATTATGAAAAACCATATGCCAGCAAATTGGATGACCTAAAGGAAATGGGTAAATTCCTAGAAACATAAGCTACCAAAACTGGAAAAGGAATAGAAAATTTTAACAGATGGATAACCAGCAAAGAAATCAAATCAATACTAAAAAAAATTTCCAACAAAAGTCCAGAACCATATGACTTCACAGGCAAACTCTAGAAAACACTTAAAGAAAAGTTAATACCTATTCTTCTCAAACTCTTCCAAAAAAAAAAAATAAATAAATAAATAAGGCAAACTTCCAGATTTTTTCTATGAGGCCAGTATCATCCTGATACCAAATCAACTAAAGACACCACCCAAAAAGAGAACTACAGGCCAATATCCTTGATGAACATAGATGCAAAAGTTCTCAACATAGTATCAACAAACTGAATTTAATAATATTAAAAAAAAAAAATTCACCACAATCAAGTGGGATTTATTCCTCAGTTGCAAGATTTGATATTCACAAATCAGTCAATATGATACATCACAAAAAAGGATCAGAACCATATAATCATTTCAACAGATGCAGAAAAAGCACTTGACAAAGTACAACATACATTCATGATAAAAACCCGCAACAAAGTGGGTTTAGAGGGAACATACCTCAACATAATAAAGGCCACATGTGAAAAACCCACAGCTAACACCATCCGTAATGGGGGAAAACAGAGCTTTCCCCCTGAGGTCAGGAACAAGGCAGGGATGTCCACTCTCACCACTTTTATTCAACATAATTACTGGAAGTCCTAGCCACAGCCATCAGACAACAAAAAAGAAATCAAAGGCATCCAAATCAGTAAGGAAGAAGTAAAACTGTCACTATTTGCAGATGACACGATACTATATATAGAAAACCCAAAAGACTTCACTAAACTGCTAGAATGGATACACGAATTCAGTGAAGTCACAGGATACAAAATCAATATACATAAATCTGTTGCACTTTTATACACCAATAATGAAGCAGCAGAAAATTAATAAAACAATCCCATTTACAAAAACAAATGGTCCAATTTAAAAATGGTCAGAAGACACGAATAGACATGAAAAGCTGTTCATCATCACTAATCATCAGGGAAATGCAAATCAGACTACAATTCGATATCACCTCACACCTGTCAGGATGGCTAAAATCAACACAAGAGCAAGTGTTGGTGAGGATGTGGCAAAAACAGAACCCTCTCACACTGTTGGTGGGAATACCAACTGGTGCTGCCACTCTGGCAAACAGTATGGAAGTTCCTCAAAAAGTTAAAAATAGAACTACCCTATGATCCAGCAATTGCCCTACTGGGTATTTACCCAAAGAATACAAGAACACTAATTCAAAGGAATACATGCATTCCTATGCTTACAGCAGCAGTATTTACAATAACCAAGATAGGGAAATAACCCAAGTGTCCATCGATTGATGAATAGATAAAGAAGATGTGGTAT